CCGCCGACGACGACGACATTGTCCGCTCAACGGACATGACGCCGAGGAGGCCGCCCCACCAAGTGGGCAGCCACCACCATGGCAGGTGGCGAAGAGAAAAAAGGCGCCCAAGAGCACGCTGGGGTAATATAAAGTTCTTTGTTCAGGGCAGGTCTGCCACTTCCCAATCAGGATATATGTTCCCACCCCCACGTCTGCGCCACCGTGGGTGGGAACATATATCTTGATCGGGAAGTGGGCAGGGGTGGGAACATATATCCTCATCGGGAAGTGGGCAGGGATGGGAACATATTTTTCGATCTGGAAGTGGGCAGCGGTAACGGTGGCGCAGACGTGGGGGTGGGAACATATATCCTGATTGGGAAGTGGCAGACCTGCCCTGAACAAAGAACTTTATATTACCCCAGCGTGCTCTTGGGCGCCTTTTTTCTCTTCGCCACCTGCCATGGTGGTGGCTGCCCACTTGGTGGGGCGGCCTCCTCGGCGTCATGTCCGTTGAGCGGACAATGTCGTCGTCGTCGTCGGCGGCGGCGGCGTCGTCGTCGTCGTCGGCCTCGTCGGCGTGGGCGTCGTAGACTTCTAGCGTAGCGTTAAATAAAATTACGTTCGGCTTGCCTGAGCGCGAAAAAAACCAACCGTCCTGTCGTCCTCGTCCTCGTCCTCGTCGTTCTCCTCCTACCGCGGGTTCATCGACCGCCGCTAAAAGACGTCGCGGGTCGTCGTCCGTCCGATGCCGTCCACCGTCGCCCGTCCGATGCCGTCCACCGTCGCCCGTCCGATGCCGTCCACCGTCGCACGCATCATCCGCTCTTTCCTAAGTCGTTCCCCGCCGCGCATTTGTGTTTGATCCGGCACATGCGTCCACGCCAGGTATGCCTATTCTCCCTCTTAGTGCTCCATCTGCTAAGTCGCCCTTCTTCCTCGATGCAGCCCGGCATTCCATCGCTTCGATGGCGAACACCGACACCGACGCATTGTTTCCCCGCTTCCGTCTGTGGTTGCTCAGAGCAGCGGGCTTTCTGTGCAGTACGTCCGTGTGTATTGTTGTTTCTATGTCGATACTCACTGTCCAAACGGCTGCGTGCTAAGCAATGCAGCCCGCAGCCCGCACACCGACGCTGCGTCATCGTCATAGTCTTCGTCTTCGTCTTCGTCCGTTGTCTCCCCGCTTCCGTCCCCGGCGGTTTATATTGTAGCAATGGGTTCCTCAGGTGAGTTCGTCCCTATATCCATCGTCAATTAGCTTGTCCGAACTGTATTCCAGATCCCGTCGAGATTGCGCTCTCTTGATCCCTGGAGAGAAGCCGTCCTTGCAGAACTTACCGTAAACCACGAGATGCGTGGAAATACTATTACAAGTCCGACTTTCGGCCAGAGTTCGTTGAACTCTGATTGAACTAACTCAGTCAACTTCTCCTCCGCGGTACAAGTCCATTATAATGCCAGACAATGTGATTTACATGTTCTTTGATATGTGAGTAACAGTTCATGTTGATTTGCATTAGCGCGTGCTAGTCAGTCAGTATCTCGACATCGAGGCCGTCGTGGATGATGATGGGGAGACTGAGGTGATGGAGGAAGACGATCAGCCTTTGTCAGGTGAGTCAACAGCGCGCGACGTGCGAATCGCAGCTGATGGATCCATAGATTTCATCGAAGATGGTAGTGTACACTCGGAAGACGAGTCTTCATCTGTTCGGGCCAGAAGCCCATCCGACCACGAAGAAGGGGTTCTTGAGAAGGAAATCGCACGTTATTGCGTGATGCATTCGAGGGCTCCTCGAGCCTTTCCGACGGACCTCGATGCATTGGAGTCTGTTCGGGCCCCTGAGCTGACGGATCCTGCATTGTGGATGGTGAAGACCAGGGTAAGTGTCGTGCATTCTTACTTACATCGCCGATTGACGCTGAAAATCGTCCAGCCGAACTGTGCTCTTCGAGCATTCTGTCTCATCTTTGGCGCATTGGCCCCCACAGCGGCATCTATAACGCAGTCTGCGGGTCCATCTGATCCTATAACGCAGTCTGCGGGTCCATCTGATCCT